TTCCCCCTCCCCACACACACATATACAGGAGCACAATGATACACCATTCGGTTAGAAGAATAACAATAGCAACGAGCCCTGCCATCGCCGGCCCCCAGAAACCTCTGCGGTGCAGACACTGGGGCCAGAAGCCGGGCCGGCAGCGTTCTCAGGGTCTGCCGGCCCTTGCCGGAAAGCACGTGGGTCTGGCAAACATCAGCCTGCCCGACGAGTGGGGCTGTGTTTTCTCGCTTCCTATTGTTCTCGCCCAGACGCTAATCCGACTGGGAAAACAACCTCAGCCGTTCGCTCATTCGCTCGGGGCTCTGGGCCCCCGATAACATTGTCTGCAGGAAAAGCCGCTTCCTCACCTTCCCCGGGAAACCGAGGGCTCCCAGCAATCAGGGCCGCCTGCAGCTAACTCCCTCCGCCCGGCTGCACGTACGGCCCCGGTGCCCCTTCCCCGGCCGCCTGGGAAAGAATGCATGTGAGTGGAGTGCCGGGGGGGGGGCGGCCCGCTCCTGCACGGAGGGTGCCTCTCACCCTCCTTCTGGTGCCGTGCCACCCGGTGGCAGAAAATGACTTTTCGATCTGTGACTTCTTGGCACAGCCTCCTCCGGACACAATTTTCTGCGAGCAGAGAAACCCATCGCAGATTGGGCCGCAGGACACGTGTTTGTTTACCCCTGAAGTCAATTAAGCCAATTACTCAGAAGAAACTGCGTAGAGGATTCCAGTTGAAGAGGTTCTAGAAGTCTAACAAAACCCCCAAAAGGGTGTATCCCTGTGCCTTCCCGGTTTTCCTCCAGGAGTGACGTTGTGCAGACCGGTGGTTGATTGACAGTTAGGAACATCGCCTGACCCTGGCCGGTGGCCCCGTGGGTTGGAGCACCGTCCTGAGCCGCCGAGGTCAGGGCGCGGGCAGGCACCGACCAATGAAGGCATCTCCAGGCGGAACGGCACATCCAGGCCCCCCTCCCCCTTCCAATATCAATCAATTAAATAAAAAAGAATGTCACCTGCGTGCCCTCGTATCTTCTAGTCTTTTGAGGGTCTCATTTACTTTTAAGTTCAAGTTTGGTATCTGAGAGCCTGTCCTGTGTGACGGTAGGGACACCCGTCCACGCCTGAACCTTCCTGCTTCCCCAGGTGGCTCCGTGTCTGGGCTGCTGCCCAACCCCTCCCCCCTCCCCCCAAGCCCCTCGCCCACCCCCGGACTCCCTCTCCGCCAGGCCCTCTCGGCCTCTCAGGCCCGACTCTGCGGGACACTGTCCCCTCTCCGGACATCTGTCCTTAGTGTGACGATGGCTCCTCCTCCCTTCTCCGGCCCGCTCGGGCCACGGAGGTCAGCTGCTCCTCAGAAGGTCTGGGGAGGCCCTAAAGGACCCCGCATGCGGGAGAGAAAAACACACCACTCCGTGCCGGATGGGACTCCTCCGCGGGGCCCCTTCCCTCCCGGGAGCCGAGTCACTGACTTCACACACGGCGCCTGAAGTTAAGCGCAGCAGCGATCCCTTCGCTCCGTGGGAACCGCTCCCCGGCACCCCCCCTCCCCAGGCCTTGGGGGGCCTGGGGCGGCCCCTCCCAAGCAGGCCCTTTCGGCGCCCTGCTCAGACACAGGCCAGGCACGCACCTGCCTTTTCTCCCCTTAACGCGTGTGATTCTTTTTATCGTACACATGGTCATAGAGTGAAACTGGCTTTTTCGGGTGCTGTCATCGGAGAACGGCAGCCGGAAACACTGAACCACCTCCAGCAAGTCTCTCAAAGACCCTGGGCTTCTCCTTTTTCCTTCCACCCCTTCCTCTTCTCTCCGGAGTCGGGGGGGCTCCCCACCCGGCAGCAGTAGGTGCAGAACGGTGCCCTGGTGCTTCCAAAGGGGCTTGTGCCGTGCAGAGGATGCTGACCTGTCCCTCTGCCACCTGGGTCCTCGTGCCCAGTCCCCTGGGTCCCCGGGGACTGCAGAGCTCACGCCCAGCCAGGATAGGGAAACTCACAGGGAAGGGCCGCACCGCTCCGTGGCTATCTGAGACTCGCCTGCAAAACACGGAGTTTTATCGGTGTGTTTTCCAAGCCTTCACACCTGTCATCGGAGTCTCAGGTCAGTCCCTGGCCCGGAAGAGTGTGTGCCGCGCCCCCGCCTCCCGCCAAGGGCTGGAGAAACCAAGGACGGACAGTGGCCGACGGCCAACGACAGAGACAGAGGTTGCTGGTGGGCCCCGATCCCGGAGCGGCGGGGGGCTCTGCGAGCGCAGAGGGAAAGGGAGAATTCACGAGAGGAAAGATAAACAGACTCTTCAAAAACTGGAATTCCTCCTTCACCAAAAAAGCATCATGAAGAAAACTGAGAGATAAACGGAGGAGGGCGCATGCGCACAGTGAACTCCTGGGAAGGGGCAGGCGCTCCCAGCCCACTGAGAACACAGGCTCTCCCACGCCGGGAAGGCAACCGGACCTCTCACCCAGAAAGACCTGGCCCCGGGGGGGGGGGGCACGGACACTTCGCAGAGCAGACGGAGCGGGCAGCGGCTGTGCCCGGGGGCAGCCAGCGGCACCCCCCCGCGGCTGATTCTCTGTCTGGGTCAGTGACGGCACGTCACCACCTTGACGTCGGCCCTGTCGGGGGTTTGTACAGCCGAGAAATCACCTGCAGGTCGGGGCGCCTTTTTTTTTTTTGACAGCCAATTTACCAGCAAATCATTGGGAACAGAAATATAACAAGAGGTTCAAGGGTACCAGGAATCGAAGAAATACAGAAAGAAATGAGATCTGGAGGAGACGGAAGAAGCACATCTCACCCCGTGTCTCCCGCTAATTATGGGAGTCTAGAGAAAACCCGTAAGGCAACAGAAGGAGCCTCTGAAAGTGTATGAGAAGTAAGTGGACTTCAAGGAACTACCCAATAATGATTGATTGATTGATTGATCGATTTTTGCCTTTTTTAGATCCTGACCTGGGCTCTGGAAGAGTCTGAAAATGCCAATGGCACCAGATGAACAGAAAACCCAAGGAAAGCCTGGTGTGTCCAGGCAAAAGTCCCGGACGAAAGTGACCCGATGCACGAGAGACATCCCGAGCAGGCACACCTGACCTCGCTCTACCGGCAGGTGAGCGGCAGAACAGCCACACTCAAAAGCCCTGCAGATGCATCAGCACGGACCACTGGAAAACGCTCAGCTAACCCCCAGGAACTCCGGGAACAGCAGCACAACAGGAGAGAGAAGGAGCAAACACACGGATGAAACGGCAGGCGTCCACGCGCACACACCAGGAACTGCGTCACGGGTAAGCGGCCTGCACTGCCGACGAGCCGACGGCGGAGGGATGGAGGCACAACCCAACTGCGTGCTGTCGCCGAGGAACTCGTTTCACAGAAAAGGACGCAGGCGGGTTAGAAGTAAAAAAAGATGAAAAAAGCCGTACCTTGCAAACGCTAATCAAATGTCAAGTAGTTGCGGTAACGTGAGATGAAGCCGGTTTTAGAACAGAGGACAGCACCGGAGGTCAAGAGCGACATTACACAGAGGTCAGAGGGCCCGTTGCCCCGGAAGACACCCCACGCAACCGTGGGTTGTCACCAACAAGGGGCTTCAGAGCACAGGAGGAAAAGCGGAGGGATTGAAAGGAGACACATTTGTGGTTGGAAACTTCAACGCCCCGTTTCACTGACCGAGGGGACGTCGTGTTCTGTACGTGACGTTGGCAAAGCTCCGAAAGGCTCCGTAGCAACAAAGTTGCAGGGAGACACAGGGAGACGGCTGCTCTGTAATACCGGGACAAAAATGAATATAAAAGTCCTGAAAAAAATATTTAAAGTGGTTCTACCACTCTTCAACCCTGTATTTTTACTTTTAGGAGTCTCTCCTCAGGGAGTAAAGGAGTCCAAAATTTATCTCTCTGGGCCTTCGTATCAGAGCTCTAACTTACTATAGCAAAACTTAGAGCTACCCAAACGTACCCACTGATTGTCAAGTATTTAAAACATATTCTGTATGCACGTGCAGTGCTGTTAGGATAATATTTTAAAAAAAGATTTTATTGCCCTCGCTGGCATAGCTCAGTGGATTGAGCATGGGCTGTGAACCAAAGCATCGCAGGTTCGATTCCCAGTCAGGGCACATGCCTGGGTTGTAGGCCATGGCCCCCAGCAACCGCACATTTATGTTTCTCTCTCTCTCTTTCTCCCTCCCTTCCCTCTCTAAAAATAAATAAATAAAACCAGCCAGGACAGGATAACAAGAAAAAGAATTTTTTTAAAAAGAATTTAAAAAAAGAATTATTAGTCCTGTGGTAAATGTGAATGATTTTAAGGCAAAAAAGGAGTATACAAAGCCATGTCCATATAAAATGATCTAAATGATGTTTTTAAAATACACATAATTATAGATATATACAAAATTACCAGAAGAAAATGTAGCGGATAATCGAGAAAAGTTACCAGCAGTTACCTGCTTGTGCTTTTCATTTGCTTGTCTGTACTCCCCGCCCCACGTTTCCTACTGTGAAACAATGTCACGTTCACGGGTCATGGTCAGAACACAGTTCCTCCCAACCCAGCACAGCAACGAGACGGCACGCAAGAGTGTCCAGTGCAGTGCTGCATCTGCCGTGGAGAGACCGAACAGGTGGCGAACTCTCTGTAAACCATTTGGCAAATGACAGACAGCGAGAAAGCGCTCCCACCGCGGCTCCCACAGCCACCGCCCGTTTTGTCGTCCAGGCCCAACTGTTCCCAGCGGCCCTGCGTGTCTCAAAAGTGTCACGGGTAGGACGGTGATTGTGAGGGCACCCTCTCTGCTCCGATGACTGAGACACGCCTCACAATAACAAACAAAGGTTGCACTGTTGTTCCTGCACACCCAGCACTGCATGCACAGATGTACGCGGGGGACCACCTCGTCGGAGCATCTGAGGGGCTCCCGGCGGCCCCGCGAGGAAAGCGACCCGGCCCAGTGCAGGCATCAGCGGGTCCCAGAGCCGGGACTTGGACTGCACCCATCACGCTGGCAGCCGAGGGCCTACCTGGACCTGCCTGGGAGCAGGGGTGGCTGGCAGGGGCCTGGCGGGGACCCCGGGCGCGCGGGCAGCCTGGTGGAGGGTCGGGAGCACCCGCTGAGGCGAGCTGGGCCGCGGGGGGTCCAGGGCTTGGAGGGGCCTGCTGATGTCGACGCTCGGACCCGGCGGCGGTCTCTTGGGGCTGTCCTGCAGGGTCAGAGCAAACAGCCGTGACGTGAGGGTCTCAGAGGTGTGGGTTATTCCTTAAGGACGAGGCCTGGCTGGCGCGTCTGCCGGAGCCGAAGGGGAGGTGGGGGGGAGTGAGGGGTGGAAACCGAGGCGGTGCACCGGAGGGAGTCTGTCGTCATTTACTTAAACTCCACATTCTGACGGAAGCAGCATCTCCCCGCCACCCCCCCACCCCGCCCCCCGCCCAATCTGCAATAGAGGGCTTCAGTTCTATTTGGATTATAAAAAACTGGTTTCATTCATGGATCAGTAGGTTCAGGACTCCTGAGCCAAGTGCCAAGCAAGGACACACAGACCAGGCCGAAGGGAGTGGCAAAGGACTTGTGGAGACACGGCGTCGCCCAGGGCACACGGCCTCGACGGGAACCCGGGACGACTCCCAGCGAAGGAGCTCGGGGGCCCCGGAGGCCAGGGCTGGGGTCAGGGCCCCGAGCCGGAGGGCCTCTGCAGGGCGCCCTGGCCTTAGTGACCGATGAGGGCAGAGGTGGCGAGAGCCTGTGCCTCGTGCCCCCCGCCCTCCCTTCCCCCCTCTTCTCCCCCTCTCGTTCTGAAACAGCTGTCCTGAGGGGCGCTCAACGTGATTAATTGCACGTATTTAAAATGTGCTGTTTGGTCCGTTTCGACACATGTCCACACCCATGGAGCCATCAGAAGCAGCGAGATAATGAAATGATCCATCATCCCAAAGAGACTCCTTGTCACCCCCCCGCCCACCCTCCCAGCTCCCTCCCCTGTAACCGCAGGCCTGCTTTCTGTCACTATTAATGAGTGTGTGTTTTCGGGAATTTCATGTGAATGACATCAGGGCATCTACCCCTTCCTGTCTGGCTTCTCTCACTTGGTGTCACTGCTTCACAGTTCATCACGATGCGGGGTGTGCCGGGGGCTCATCCCTTCTGCCTGTGGGGTGGCCGTCCACCATGCGAAGGTGCCGAAGCGGGTTGACCCTTTCACTGACTGATGCCTGTTTGGGTCAGCCCACCCCCCCACCCCGTTTCTGGCTCTCGGAAATAAAGCTGCTCCTGCTCTAGTCCTGCGTTCGGGGATGAAGGCCGCCTGTCAGGAGTGGCGGCCTCCTCTTGGGAGCCCCGCCCCCTCCACTTTCAGACCCAGGGAGATAAAATCGTTGAATGAGTCCGACAGTCAAGGATTCCTGTGGATACATCAGAGCCCACGGTGGAGATACTACGTACCAGAGCGAACTCCGGTTATGATTTATCAGGGTGGTGGGAAGTCACAAGGCAGCAGGGAGCCAGGAGGTACTTGGGATTAAGGATCCGGCTCTTCGAAACCACGGAGTGGACAGAGCTTCCCCAGCCCAGGGCCGTGTGACTTTCAGAAGTTCACTGGGGGTGGCGGTGGGCCAAGGGAGCTCGCCCCGCCCAGTGGGTGGCATCTGAGGCCGCAGGAGGGGCCTGGAGACAGGCACCTGTTTGGTGGCAGGCCCAGTGGCCTCCTGGGAGTCTGGGTGGCCTGTGTGACTGGATGGACCGTGGCTCACAACGACCTCCCACCGTGTCGCACAGGGGACACTGCCTGCCCCAGTGGGACCTCGTAGAGCCACCATGGGGTGCTGCGGTCACCCCCAGCCCCTGGCCACCGCCTCAGGACCCGAGGTGCTGCCGTGCGTTTTACCCCGGGGCCCGTCCCACCGGGGCCAAGCCCCGGCCTTCCTGCGCACACGGACTCACCTTGGTGGGGCCGGGCTGGGCTGGCTTCCTCGTCCAGCCTTTGGCGAGCTGCGGGAGGGGAGCCTGACCAGGCTGGGGGCCGCCGGAGGGCCGGGCCGGGCGCACACACCTGCAACGCAACCCGACACGTGCTCGCCGGGGCCGTTTTCCCTCCAGCTGACTCAGTTTGTTCTATTTTGTTCACTATCGCACTAAAAAAACCCCAATTTACTGAAACTTAACTCCACATGGGTAAACATGCAAAGGTAAAATCATCTAACACTCTCTCAAGAATAAAAAAATAAATACCAGCCCTTGCTGGTGTGGCTCAGTGAATCAAGCACCAGCCTGTGAACCAAAGGGTCCCCGGTTCGATTCCCAGTCCGGGCCGATGTCTGGGTTGTGGGCCAGGTCCCCAGGAGGGGGCGTGTGAGAGGCAACCACACTCTGATAGTTCTCTCCCTCTCTTTCTCCCTCCCTTCGTCTCTCTCTAAAAATAAATAAATAAAATCTGGAAAGTAAATAAATAAATCCTAATGGTTTTCTCCCCAAAGTCACTATGCTGTCAAATTAGCTCCTGAAATCTACAGAATCGAGGCTCCGTGAGACCCGGGAGACACTTGGTATAAAGCTGGTGTTTCAGCAACGCTGTCTGAACGCACTGGACTCAGAGACCTGGGGAAAACACCTTAATGTCCTGCGTCTCAAAGGAACCAACGCCAGGGCGGCGAGAACCCACGGGCGAGCCTGGTCGGCTCCCTGCCTGCTTGTGTGAGAAGCAGGCAGCAAACGGGGGGGGGTTGGGGGGGGTGAAGGGCAGTGCAAAGAGGCTGCGGCCTGGCGGGAACGCAGCGACGGGACCCCGAGCCGGTTCTGCCCGCCAGAGCGCCTGCCCGCCTCTTTGCTGGGGGGCCGCCTCGCCTCGCGGAGACCGCCCGCGCCCGGGGCACCTGAGCTTCTCCACGGTCGTCTTCTTGTCCGTGAGCAGCAGTCGTGTCAGCGGCCTCCTGGTGAGATACGCCGCGGACCCGGCCGTGAGGAGACACAGGACGGTCACCAGGATGGCCACGGTCAGACCCTGGTTGTCTGGAACAGAAGGCGCCGCGCTCAGGTCAGGGAGGGGGAGGGGATGGCGGAGTCGGGGGCGCCTCGGACCGCGACGTTCGCAGCCGCGCGGACCTCGAAGGGACGGGGACGAAGGGCGTGCAGCCCTGTCCCGGGCACCGTCACTCCCTGCTGGCCGCTCTGGGTGTGGGACCGCGGCCCTGGCCTCACGGGCCCCCGGAGCGTGGGAGCAGCAGGGAAATGGGGGCCACGGGGGGCCACGGCTGGCGTCCCCTCGGCAGGGTGGGGGCCCCCGAAGCAAACCCTTCCCAGACACTGCCACACACACGTGCTACCCCGGCTCCTTCCTCCTCCCACACTCGTGTCGGAGCCTCGTTTGTTTTTTTATCTGCACATTTCTCTGACCGAGACTCCTTATTTCTGGACACTGTCAAATGAGAAGGGAAAAAAAGAAGAAAGGAAACCCCCCCGCCGCGCAGTGAGATGCCCACAGGCTCTGTTTCATGTCAGGGGTGTGCGGCGCAGCTTCTGGGGGCAAACCCTCTTTCCCCTCTTTCCCCCTTTTCCGGGAGGATGCGGTTTATCTTCTCCATGGAAACAGCGCCTTCCTGTGATGGGACCCATTTCGAGCTGTCCAGGACATGGCGGCCCCTCCGTGTGCGGAAAGGGAGGGGAGGTGCCGGCACCGGGTGGCTCTCAGCGGCCGCTGGAGCAGGGGCCTGGGGCGGACGCTCAGGGCCGGGCCTCCAGGGGCTTTGTTTGTCCGTGCTCCAACAGGACGGAACCTCCCGAGCTCACGGAGCTCGCGCACCGGTCCCTGTTCTCCTGCCAACAGCGGGCAGGGTGGGCGGCACACAGTAGGTGCACGGCCGTCCTTTTAGGCTGCTGCCCCCGTCGCCCAGGCTGCCCACTGCTGCCTCTGACCGGGGCGTCCGGCCGGCTGCAGACCAGAGCCACACGGCTCCCACCTCGGGGTGGGGGGGAGGCCTTCACACCCTCCCCGCCCCGGCCCTCGGCTCCGACCGGCAGGTCCTACCAGGGATGTGTCCTAGCCTGCACACAGCCACCAGCACGGGACATCTCGGCCCACTGGTCAGTGCCACTGGGAAGGCCCTGCCTCTGGTTTCCTGGCTGAAAGGTCCTCCTCGCTGACGGCGCGCCGGCGACCACGGGGCTCCGGCTGGAGCCCTGCGTCAAACTCCACCTGGCTTGGGGAGGGCGACGTCCTGTGCGGCAGCACCGGCCACCAGGAGAGTGTCGTGGGGCTCCGGTGAGCGCCAGGGGGCGACACCCGGGGGCTGGGCGAGTCCCCACCTGCTCCCGGGTCTCCCGCTGTGCCGTGTCAGCTCTCGGCACCTTTCGTCCTGGGTTTTTCTCTGTCAAAGGGACGTTGCTCAGACTTGCCCCTTAAGTGCCTGGCCGGAGCTCAGAGGAGAGGCCGCTGCACTGGGGGACATTTCTCAATGTCACCCAAGATGAAGAGGACAGAGGGTTCAGGCGCAGCCGTGATTGGGAGCGTCTTTGGGGGTAGACAGGCCTGTGTCCCCGTCTCGGCCGTGGGACTCTGGGCAGGTTACTTAACGTCCCCGAGCCTCTGGTCCTTCGTAAGTTTGGAAAGGATAATGCTGACCTCAGGGTCCCGTAAGGACTGGGTGGGATAACGCACGGGAAATGCCACTCATGGCACCGGAGGCAAACAGAGGCCGCCGCCGCCGCCGCCGGGCGCTCGCCCTTTCTGAGGAGGAGGGTGTCTTTCCGGTGAGAGTTTTAGAAGGCAAGAAGTGTCCCACCTCTTGGCCCTGGGGCACAGAGGCTGGCCTTTACCGAGTCCTTTGGGTGGACAGGGACGTGCCTGCCCATTTGGCCCTCTGCTGCAGAAGTGACCTCGGTCAAGGAAAGCGTCACAGGCTAAACACTGGCAAACGCAACCCCCCCGCCAAAGCAGCGCGGGGGGTCTCCAAAAAGATCGGGAGGGGACAACGGAGAATTCGGGAACAGAGAGCGACCTCAGGCCGTGTCAGGCCCAGGTGGGGCCCCCACTGGGTTTCCTGCCCCCGGGGGTCTCCACACCCACAGCCATGACCCACCCTGCCCTCCTGGGGAAGCCCCGCCCACCTGGCGTCCCACCGCCCCCCACTCCCCAGAACTCGGCCCCCTCCCCCCACAAGTGCTCTCCCCACCAACCTGCTTGCCGGACGGGGCCGCTGTCTGTGCTTCCTCCGAAGCCGAACTTGTCGCAGAAGGGCGGCGCCCAGTGGGCCTCGCAGTGGCAGTTCTTCCTGTTGTTGCACACCTTTCCGGGCAGCCGGGGTGGGGGGGGAGGGCACGAGAGGGAAGCAGAGTTAGGGCGCCCCGTCCCCCGGGGCAGAGGCGCCGTGGCCCAGCGAAGGCCCTGAGGCCAGAGGCCCCCCCACGAGCACCCACAGAGCCGGACTCAGTAGACGTCACCGCGAGAACAAGCCCCAAACGCCAAGGACACCGGAGACCAGGGCCTGGGGCTGCCTGTGTCACCTGCACGTGTCACTTCGCCTGCCTGTTCGCAGCTGTCCAGGGAGTCGTGACGACAGGTAGGGCGTCTCCACTCCACCACCCCCCCAACACACACTGCTCCTCAACCCCCGAGTCCCTCTTCTTAAATCCCGGACCACCCTCCTCCGCACCCCACTCTGGCCGAGATGAGAGGCCTTCTCGGCGGTGAAGAGGAACCCTGTGTCGGGACATGGCATCCGAACCCTCAGGTGTCGCAGGCCTGACAACCTCTGGGCACCTTCAGACAGGAGGCTGGGTGGCCGGGATCCCAGAGCAGGCCCCTGGTGGGGCCCTGGGGACACTCCCACTGAGCCTGCCCCCCGCCCCCCCGCCCCTGGCTCCTGCTCAGAATGCCCGCTTCCTCCCCGCAGAGCCTCTGGCGGCTGTTTCCGCAGGGCTCCAGTCCCACACGGTGGGCACAGCCAGCAAAGACCTCCTGGAACAAGAAGATGGCTCTCCTGTGACAGGGGAGATGACCCCCGGAAAGCAGGGGGAAGCCCTGAACAAGGAGCTTAATGTGGGGGCCAGAGCCCTCCCTGGATGGGCCAGCTCCTGCTCCCCTGGTTACCACGGCGACAGCTGGCGGCTGCTCTCCAGCCTGGGTCCCTGTTCAACCTGCTGTTGTGACCTGTGTTTACTGAACTGCTACGTGGGCCATTCCAATAGGAGCCCGAGGGCGAGGGTGTTGTTCCTCTGAAAACGAGGTTGTGAGCTCTGGGAACGCTGGGAAAACAAACCCAGCCCCTAAAAGGAACTGACGAATCGGGAGTGGGAGGGGCACCTGTGGGACCACGGGGAGAGCTGCGGGAGGCAAGGCGGCTTCTGCACGCACGCGGGCTGCTCCCGTGGCTACGTCCCCCTTCCACTCGGAGGAACAGACCCGGGTGGCAGCTGGTGCGCCCGGCTGGTGGTTCACGCGAGGAAGTCGGCGCAGAGCTACGTTCTCCGCACCCGCCCCACGGGCCTCAGCCCGGCACCAGGTCCTACTGCTCGGGGCCAGAGCACGCTGTTATGTTTCAAGGCAAAATACAGTGTTTGGGGTGTGGGTCTCACTTGTGGTATCTGCCTGCTTTCACCGACTTTTTTTTTTTTTTTTTAATCCATCAGCCGCCTGCCCCGGTGCTTCGAGGAAGGCCGTCCGTCAGGACAGCCTGCGGGAAGAGGCAGAGTCTGCTGCTCTGGGCGGGAGCTGAGAGCACTAGTGACCGGTGGCCCGGCCTGTGCTGAGTCAGAGTGGTCCGGCCCGTTTCCTCAGAGACGCTGCTGGCGTCCCACCGGGGCCCCAGGCCGGGGCTGCCCACACGGCTCTGTGTGGCTCTGTGCCCTTTGCAGCTGGTGGCGGAGAGAGACTGCAGCCCCTGCACCCCCCCTGCAGGGGCTGCTGGGGAGCCTGGCTCACCCGTGAAGGGCCGTGGTCACGTGACATGCTGCCAAGTCCAGCAGCGGCCCCACCCACCCGGAGGACGTGGGCCTTTCCTCTCTGGTGTACGGACGGGACCCCCCAAGGAGTGTTGGAAAGGGAGGGGTCCGTGGCCCAGCACTGCTGCTAGCTGGTGAAGCCCCCTCGGACGTGTCCCAGCCCCCGCGTGAGCCTGGGCTTCCTCGTCCGTGAAGTCCCGAGGCGACACGAGGCCATCTCTTCCCGCTGTCAGAGAGGAATCCAGGGCCCGGTGCAGACATAAAGGGACCCGTTCAACACTGACAGCCCCTCACGAGGGGGGTGGCACTGCCATCCTCTGCGGTGACAGTAACTTTCTGAAAACCCCATAATTCTGTGTTAGAATCCTGGGCAAGTGTCTGCAAATTCTAAAAATAGGATTTGGAGAATGATTTCTGTAGAAAAGGTTTCAGAGAAACAAATGAACCACTGGCGTGGCAAATCAAGATGAACATAGTTTCATTGGAAATAATTAAGCCCATCAGGAAAATAAATTACGTTTTAAACAACTTGAGTCTTCTTCTCTCCAAAAGAGTCTCTGAACTAAAATAACAGCCTTCCTTCGTCGAAACCCATTGCCCGGGATTTCAAGCACATGTGGTCAGTATCCCGTCTTCTTTAATTCCTTATGGAGTTTAATTCCTTTCGGAAGTATTTCAGTTCAGACACATTCTGAATCTTGGCTGTAAAGGGAACAGCTCTGTTTGAAATATTCTTGCAGAACTCTGCATGAAGGATGGGTTGCTTTTAAAATTACTTTGAAAATGACAAAGTCTTTTTTCCAAAAAAAAAAAAAAATCACAGAATGTTCATGTGCAAGCTAATTACTGCTCAATCTAATTTTTTTGTTAAATAAAAATCACATTTGTTATGCCACGTAAAGGTCGAAGGAAATTAACGTCTTTAGAAGAACAATCGCAGGAGACCCTGCTGTTTCTAAAAAGTCACGGATCGGGGAGAACTTGACACGTGAGCGAGGCGGCGCCTAACGGGTCGCGGACCCGCGGGAGGAACTCACCCCTCTGCTGTGGCACTGCTTCGCACACTCGTGGACGCCGAACACACTGATGTTTTGACACCGACGGTTGAGGCAAATCTGCAGGAGAAGGGAAACACAGCACACGCTGCAGTACCTCGGCGGGCACGTGCGCGTGCGCATGCACGCACGCACGTCTGCGGGTGTAACACCAGAAATCGAAGAAAGTTTTGGGGGGAGGAGCTTCCAGCCGAGGTGGGCGGCGCCGCAGTGGGGCGTGTCTCCCGTGACGTAACGCGGGTCCCGCCTGATGCCCCGCCTCCACACTCAGCCAGCTTTTCCGGGCCAGGCTCGCTGGGAAAGACATACAGTTCTTTCTGGCCTTTTATAGGGTGCTAGTCGATCCAGAAATTGTAACTGATTTTCCCACGATTTGTGCTTAGAGCTGGCGATGCCACCTGCGTTTCGCAGCATTGCCCCTCCACTACAAGATACGAGAGAGGGCGAAACGGATCGTCCTTACCCCGGGGCCTGTGTGTGGGCGCAGAGACCCGGGGAGCAGGGCCCGGGAATCCTGTGCGGGAGACAGGGAAAGGCGGGAGCCTCTCCAAAACACTATCGGACCAGTGCTGTCACCGATGATGTTAGCGATGATGGTTGGATACACTGCCAACGGCAGTGCGCGGCGGAGGAACACAGACGGTCCCCTTGAACTTACCAAGCCCTCGCGGAGGCAGCCCTTGGCCGGATGACACCGGGCATGCTGAGAGCATTTGCTTTCATTTCAAAGGGGGCGTAAGCTGCTCCAGGCTCGAGGGATCAGGCCCTCGACCTCCCGTAAGACGCTACAAATTAGCGGAGTCGATGGAGGAAAGTCTAACGTTCCCATTGCAGAAGCATTTTTAATCATGTGGAACCTTCCTAGGGGAAATTCACCATCCGGCCCAAACGGCCTGGGTCAGGTCAATTCACGCAGCCCTAGGGGCCGGCGGCAACCTTGGCCAAGGGGACTGTCACATTCCAGCTGATGAAAGAAATGGTCTGAGATAGCAGGGACACGCTGGGGCCCGCTCTCCTCCAAACCCGCAGACAGGGTGACAGCGGCAGCGGCTTTCTTGGAGAACACCATGTGCTGCGGAAGCCAAGGCCCAGGCCCACGGAACGTGGCGCGTGGGGAAAAAAAACCTCATTCCTAAACGGATCCCCGGAACCTCAGCGCTCGGATGCACCTGCCCCGGCTGTTCCGACCACGGCTTTAGAAACGGGTGCCGTTCGAACGCCAGGGCCTGACTGTGGGTGGGCTGGCGTGTGTGGCGAAGGAGACGGCCGGCGTGTATGACACGTGACACGCGTCACTCGAGCTCCTTGAGGACCGTTTGTGGCTCTGGGTGTAGGAGGGACGGGGGTGGAGAGAGGGCGTTTCTGGCGGGAACTCCGCCGAAGGAGCTGTGTGGGCGTCTGTCTCCTCTGTGGCCTCCCTGGCCGCCAGCGATCTCATAATCGTTTTGAAAACAGGGTCCTCAGAAAGCAGGTGGGGCTGACTCACCTTCGCGCCTGCCATCATTTGGTCTGATGAGGAAGGACGGCGAGAAACATGGATGTGGCAGACGGTGAAAATCTCGATTTCTTTTTTTAAATTTGGATTTTATTTCTAAACCCTAAAATATCTGTCTACCTTTCTCCCCGGTCTCCAAAGAACTCTCTTTCGGCCTTAGGGGAACCCTACCGCTTCCTCTTCCTTCTCCTCCCCTCCCCTTCTCTCTCCTCCCCTCCCCTTACTCCTCCACTCCTTGCCTATCTTCTCGTGGCGGGGTGGGGGGACGTCTCTGAAAATACATCTGACTTCCCTGTGCGCCCCCCGCCCCCGGTGAGAACAAGGCCCCAAGAACTCTGTGCCAGAATCCGAGGCCACATTTCCAAAAACAATACAACAAGGGGCCGAGTTTCCTCCCAAAGTAGCTTCCTGGCTGCAAACCCTCACGGCACCCAGAGTATAGACATGACTTATTCACACTGAAGGACTGAGGAAGCAGGTCGACTCCCCCAAGCCTGCATCTCAACGGTCGGCCCGGGGTCTAACATGTTTCCTTCGATGTTTCCTTCCAGGAGCAAAGAACTGGATTCAGGAGAGGGAAGGCACTTACAAGGAAACAAACCGACCTCGTCACTCAGTCCTCGTGAGATGAGACGTTTCTGGGCGGGCCTCGCCCCGGACTTACGCTTACGACGCAAGCGAGCCTCACGCTTTGGGCCTTACTTTCCCGTCTGCGCACTTGGTGCCGGCAAGCACGAGCCCCGGGTCCGGCACGTCGTCGCCCAGGTACACGTGGGTCCCGCGGCACAGGATCCGGCCTCCCTCCTGCAGCGGGATGTTCGTTTCTATGGAAACGGCATTGGTGCCGATGACCGGCCGGCTGGCGCCCCCTTGACACTGGATTTTCCCGCACTTGGCGTCTCTGGAGGGGCGAGAACAGACAGTCCCCCGACAGGAGGGGGAGCTGGGACCAGCCGTCCGCCACGTGGGACGCTCAGAGGGACGGCGGTGGGTGAGGACGCGGGACCCTACCTCGTCTCACACTTGGCGAAGGAACTCCTGGAGTCTTTGCCGCAGTTGCCGTACGGGTCGCCTGCAGAGTTGACTCTCTCAAAGCAGATCCCGGGGGCAGGTTTAGCGCCTGGAATGAGAGCAAGGCAGCACGGTCACCGCCTGCCAGTGGCTTTGGTGTTTTCCTGCGAACAGCACTGGGTGGTGGGTTCTGGGGAGAAGTGCTCTGTGCCCAGAGGACTGGCACCCGGTGTCCCAGCTGACTGCCGACAGGGGCTGGCCGGTGGCACCCCAGCCTCCGCTCCTGGTTCAGCTCCTGGCCAAGCACGCGTTTCACAGCTCAGGGGACAAGGCCCGGTGGGGGGGCTGGACCCAACACGGATGGAAAGGGGGTGGCTGGTTCTCCCTCACCACACCCCACACAGTTCTGGTGGGAAAACGCACGCTCTAGCAGGTTCCAAAGAGCAATGATGGTTGCCATGGGCAAGCAGAGAGAGAGAGAGAGAGAGAGCAAATGAGAGCACGGCCACCTCACACCAAGCTTTCAGTCCCCTGAGGCGCCCTGTGTTTGCAGGACAGACTCCTGGGAGGCCACGGAGACGCAAAACCCGACGGTCGTTTTGCCCCACGTGGCAGTGCCCACAGACAGGGACACGGGAGGCAGGGAGCTCCGGAAGCGGCCACTCTGAGCCCGTCTGCGGGCCAGTGACGGAGAGCGCAATCAGGTCTGTGACACTTTGGAGGACTCGAGAGTCCCACCAGTGGGGCTATCAGCTGGAGACCACGTGGGAAATTCAGGAAAACGTCCCACGGTCATCGGCGCACACTGTGCCCTGTGGTGTGACCTGGGCCCTGGCCTCTCTCCCACACGGGCGTCGTGTCTGGCTGCTTCCTGACACATCACGTCCGATGGCCTGGATGCCGCTCCCGGCTCTGGGGAGGGAGGCTCCTCTCACCTTCCCAGGGGACCGCTGACTCTTTAACACAGCGACCTACGGAAGGGCAAGGCCCCCTCCTCCCAGGAAACAGAAGGTGCTCTCACTGCTAAAAAGTCCACCTTCCCCCAGCCCGTACCCGATTCCTCTTCACCAGCCGCCAGCAACACCATCAGCATCTCATGGAAACAAAGAAGCAAACAGACAAATCGGACCAAACCGAACCCTTGTAGCAGCCGAGGTCAGCAATGCGCTCAGCCGCTGACGCCCGCCACCCTGGTCTCCAATGCATTTCAGAGAGGCCCCCCATCTCCTCTTTATGGGGTCACCTTGGACCGGACGCGTTCTGTGGACAGAGGCGAGGCCGCGGCCCCTCGGCCGCACAGCCCCGTCACTGCACCCTCTGCATGCCGTGTGGGTTCGGCACCGCCCTGCTGGGCTCCCCCCATGGTGGGCCCGTTGCCCCCACACTCAGCCGCCTCGTTCTTCCCCATCTACTTCCTGGAGGGGGCGGGGCGGGGCAGGGCGTGTGAGCCTCCGTGTGGAGCCTGCGCTTTGTGCTGAAATGAACCCTGTTTGATGGCGTTGGGACCAAAGTGCCCGGACTCCATCGATCAAAGCGGCCGGAGAAAACTGGCGCTGAGAACACCAGTAGCTCGTAGCTCAACGGTCGTTCGCGTATTTGCAAGAACCCCGTGCATTTGCTGCTTGTCTGTCTGGCTTTGTCTCCCCTTCCTCCCTCCCTCCCTCCCTCCTTCCTGTCCTCTGGTCGCACTGCAGACTTCCATCACACACACACAGGCTTTTCTGGCACGTACTGTCCGCCGGGCTGGGAATAATACAGTGGTGACCAGTATGGACACACATCCTGCTGGCGTTAGAATTGCAAGAAGAAACAGAAAACACACGGGCGGATGCGTTCCTCTGCGGCGGGGGGTTAGGCGGAGGGGTGGGGAATACCTCGAAGGGAAGAACTCGGAGCCGGCGGTCCCGGCTGCTGCTTTGCACAGGCTGTCAGGGAACCCCCTTGGGACGGAGAGCGTTCCTCGGCGCTCTGCAACTGCTGCTGTTTTCACTGGGGGTGGGGGGGTGGGGGGGTGGGGGGAGAGGATGGAGCAGAGCCCTGTTTACAAAGCTCGTTCTCCCCCGGGGGCCTGGCATTCTCTGCCCTGGCGTCTCCAGGCTGGGACGGGGATCTTGCACGAATGTTTGACGGCTGGGGAGTGTGAAACGCACCAGAGCGCCCTTTAGAAACGTGTGCACGTAAGCAGTCGCCGCTGGATCCTGATCACTACACAGTCCTGCAGCACCAGCTCTGGTTCCAGGTGGCGGGACCGTGCCGGGCAGGCTTCCGGGCCGCCCCCTGGGGCCGGCGAGCTCCCAGCGACAGGCCGGGCACTGCTCAGCACGGCCTCCCCCGGCCCCCCTCCCAGGAGACAGAGGCTGCGCAGTGGGGAGGGTGTCTGCTGGTCGCTCGGAGCCTCGGGAGCTTGTGACAATGAACTGTAGCCTAGGAGACACGGGGTTGTCCCAGTGTTTATCTCATCGGACACTTCCCCCTGTGTCCACCTTTCTAGGAACAAACCCTTTTTCTTATGGGAAACCCATTCGAAGTGGCTTGGGTAGGGTCCCTCTCTGTCCCTGATGCCAGAAGGATGAGCGTAAGATTCAAGTCTGGGCCCCCAGAGCGCTCCACGCCGCAGTGTCCTGGGGTGGGGTCCGCGCCGGCACAGGGCTGCAGGCTGGCCATCGGGGTCGTCACTGTCAGAGCCAGCCGGGGGAGGCTGTGCCCCTCCACAGTCCGTCCTTCGGGGCCTCTCTCCCTCACTGCCTTCCCCGGAGGCCATGGTCATAACCTCCCTTCTCTCGTCCCTCCTGTGGGCTGTCCCCTCCTCATCCGGATGCTTGCGTTTGCCTCCTGTGACATCTGGAGGACAGGGGTGGTCCTCCAGCCTGCGCAGAGTCGGTGCGAGCCAGGGACGAGTGACTGAAAAGCCACGGGAAAAGCCACCGACCTCCTCAGGGGAAGCCACCTGTGACTTTTGCAGAGCAAAGCATCCTGGTTTATGTCGTCTGTGACTCCGGATTTCCCCGTACTTGTTCACGTCAACGATCGTGCTGATGACGAGGAAAGGAGATACAAGGTCACGAAAAAGCAGGCGTTTTTTACTTACTGCAGAGAGCAACGGTCGTTCCCTGCAAGCTGGTGCAAAGTAAGAAACCTCTCGAGCAGGAAATCCTCTTTCCTGGGGCTCAGTGCCCATCTTGGGAGTGGAGGCAGCTCTGCTTGGAAAACAACATCAGCACAGGAAACGGATGTGAAGACACAGACCCAGAGACAAACTCGTGAGTGCCCGTGTGTTCAGAACCTGCTGATGCCAGTGAGGACAGTGGTGCGGCCCCTGCAGGGTCCTTCCTGTGGCCTCGGAGCGTTGGGGGCGGCCTGGCAGTTACCTTAGAGACAGAACGGTCCATCGTTGATGAGACGCAGGCCTCACCTCGCCGCTGCAGGGAGTGGTGGATGCCCAGGTGAGCCCACCCCCCCGCCCACCCCAGCACTGGGCATGGCCAGTCACTGCTGCTGCCTGGACCGGGCCCTCCTGAGGCTCCAGGTGGCTCAGGTGGCTCAGGCGGCGTCCGAGGTGAGCTCCTGGGAAGAGGACGAGGTCCTGGTGGAGTGGGTCCTTCTGCACGTTGTCCAGGCGCCGGCGGAAGCTACTCGAGGTTAAATCACGGGGACGGGCGCGTCCTGACCGTGCAGCGCGTGAATGGGGGTGTGGGCCTGCAGGTGTCTGACTGCACCCTGCACCCCATCTTCCCCCGGCACTGGGTGACCCCGCACACTTCCAGCACCCTGTGGGGGTTGGGGTGTACCGGCACCCACCGAGCCAGGACGGCGAGTTCGAAACGAAAGTGTATTTTGACCCGATGGTTCAGCGACCCCATCTGCTGATGCCGCTTATTCAGGCGATTCGGCCGGCGCAGAGATGGTCACGTGCAGGCTGAGGGCCGAGAGGGTGCGTCTCACGAGGCGAGTCCGTGCTCTGTCTGGACGGTGCTGATTGGTATTTGGAAAGTGGCACTTGAGACTCTTTTCTGATTGCTTGAACGCACTCCGGAGCAGGAGGACTGGACCGTGAATCTGTGCGGGCGCTGGCCGCTGGCTGCGACCCCGCTGCTTGCACCTGCCTGGGAACTCTGCTCCCTCTTCCAGTGGGGGGGGGGGGCAAAGCCACGCAGTCTCGTCACCTTGGTTACCCCAAAGGAGGCGGAGCAGCAAGATCGACATCCGTTTTCTTTAAAGATCAAACTTCCTGTAAAAGGAATATGCACAATAAGCTGAACTCAAAGAGAAGGAAGTGTAAATGACTTCCGTCCACGCCTAAGCTGATACGAAGCTTTCGCTCTTTTTCTGGAGTTCTTGTTCTGCTTTTTTTTTTTTTTTTTAAATTTGGGCCATATTTCTTTGTCTCCTCGTTTTGGCAGCCTCTCTGTGTTTGTTTCTGTGTATTAGGCAGAGCTTCTTTGACTCCCTGTCTTAGCAGCGTGGCCTACTGTGGACAAGTGCACCTGTAAATGGGATGGGGCAGAGTCTTAAGGAACTGGCAGGGCAGCCTGTGTGGACCAGGTTGATGGAGTCTCAGGGACGGTGTGGCTGCTCTGGGACTCTGTGTCGGGGAGGGCTCGGAGAGGGGACACTGCCACTGCCTGGCCTCTGGAGTTCTGTCTGGGGGGAAGCTGTACCCTGGCACCGGCCCTGATGTCAGACACTTCCGTTTCTCCCATTTTCGCCACTGGTGCCGCCCCAGGTGCTGGAGCCCAGCGGGAGCGAGTCTGTGTGTGAGTCCTAAGTCCACTGCGGGCCCTTGAAGAGGAGACTCCTGAGAATCCCGCAGTCTCTTCTGCTGCCCCAACCCCCACTGGTGTGTGCAGCCAGAAGTTATGGGGACTCATCTTCCTGGCGCTGGAACCCGGGGCTTGGTGGTACGGCGTGGGGCTGGGATCCCTCGGTCCTAGGGCATCCCTCCTGATTTTTATCCACCACACGTGGGTGTGGGACCGCCTGTTCTGTGCTTCTGCCCCTCCTGCCCGTCCGGATGAATGCATCTTCTTTAATTCCTTGATTGTGGGACTTCCATGCAGCTTGATTTTCCAACGGTTGTGGGCGATACTTGCTTTGTAGTTCAGTTGTCAT